ATCACCTATTTTGCCGTGCGGACAGACTACGCATCGATTTGTTATACAGGACCGATCGTAAAGTCTGCTTCGAACTAACTGCTTTTTGATATTGTCACCTGGAATATCGACTAAAACAATATCGTTTTGCAGTTGTGCACATAAAATACATTTTCGAAATTCCGCACTGATGTTATCAGAAATAAATGGAAGGCACAGTGGAAGCAACTTATTGTCGCGAATTTTGTTACCATTCGCCTGATGTTGATCACGCGACAAAGAATGATGACCGTTGCTGCAAACAATCTTGGAGGCCAGATCTCGCGACTCGCATCGTTCTCTTTCTCCGGAGCACATCTGCATAGCCGTTCTGAACATACTTTTGATCACCGCTTTTTTCGTAGATGGAGGATGCGCTGATTTAACATTCAAAAGGATTTTCTTCGAGCTTTCTTTGCGGTACTGTTTTAGGCTAGCAATACCATTGGATAATCTTACTTGCGCGTTGAGGTAAGGCAGCCATCCATCGTATGGTGTTTCTCGTGTGAGCTTCATGTACTGCGACCACTGGTCCAAAATTTTGAAACATTCGTCTATTTCGGACTGTGTTGATGTAGATATACAGCAGTCATCCATGCATCGGCAGTACATTAGCGGCATGCGGGCTAACACTGGTTCTTCGATCATTCATAAAACAAATGGCGAGAACCGGCGCCAACCTCTGACCCATAGCCAATCCGCGTTTCTGGGCATAGTAAGTTGCAGTCCCAGACCATCTAAGGCCCCGGGTAGACTTCACGCGATTTGAATGCGACTGAATGGTGACGAGACAACTGTTACAACATCATTCCATGTCCATCAACTTGCATTCGGTTGTGATACTTTCCCAGTCCGAAATTTTTTTGGCGATTAGATCGCGACCGTGAGTCGCGTAAAGTCTGTCCGGGGCCTAAAGATATTACACTTTAAACATTCGCTTATCAGGGTCATAGTCCGCTTTTTGCCAGGCCCAAAATTTCGCAGAAATTACTCTGTACGTTGTGGTGTCTGCTAGATGAGCTGTTGTTATTCGACAATCAAGTTCTTGAGGCATTACTACGAATTCGCCCTCCTTATCGCTTACAGATAACCGTACCGTACCGTTCAGAATTAGCTCATGTATCTCTTAAACCTTGCCACTGTTTAGGTGTAAGGTTATTCTGATGTTGATGTTTTGCTCTATTCAAATCCTCGAAAACATTAGAGCATAAGAGATGGAACTTCATATCTATCTCGGGAACGGGTGATGGTTCTTTGTAAAACGACCGAGGGAAGGGAATTGTCGGTAGTATTATGTTGTTGCATAGGTTCTGCCCGATTTGAAATTTTTTACTTCAAAATGTCATAACCTTATTGAGCATTCCTTGGCTATCAGATACATATTCAAACATATTGAAATTTATTATTGTTTTATGAGTAAGATCGAAGGACCAGTGTTAGCCCGCATGCCGCTAATGTACTGCCGATACATTGATGACTGCTGTATATCCACATCAACACAGCCCGAAATGGACGAATGTTTCGAAATTTTGAACCAACAGTCGCAGTACATAAAGCTCACACGAGAAACACCACACGACGGATGGCTGCCTTACCTCAACGCGCAAGTAGGATTATCCAATGGTATTGCTAGCTTAAAATAGTACCGCAAAGGAAGCTCGAAGAAAATCCTTTTGAATGCTAAATCAGCGCATCCTCCATCTACGAAAAAAGCGGTGATCAAAAGTATGTTCAGAACGGCTATGCAGATGTGCTCTGGAGAAAGAGAACGATGCGAGTCGCGAGATCTGGCCTCCAAGATTGATTGCAGCAACGGTCATCATTCTTTGTCGCGTGATCAACATCAGGCGAATGGTAACAAAATCCGCGACAATAAGTTGCTTCCACTGTGCCTTCCATTTATTTCTGATAACATCAGTGCGGCATTTCGAAAATGTATTTTACGTGCACAAGCAAAAACGATATTGTTTTAGTCGATATTCCAGATGACAATATCAAAAAGCAGTTAGTTCGAAGCAGACTTTACGATCGGTACTGTATAACAAATCGATGCGTAGTCTGTCCGCACGGCAAAACAGGTGATTGTGCACAAATGGGAGTAGTATATCAGTTAAAATGTCTAAGCTGCAACGCATCTATATTGGAGAAACTGGCAGATCACTTAGTACTCGCGTAAAAGAACATCTTGCAGATAAAAGGCGTAAAACATTATTTTCACCTCCAGGCAAGCATAGGCACGATTCGCATGGTGGAGACGATTTCGATATCAAATGCTAAATCTTGGCACATGAGAAGGAAACCTCGGCGAGGAAGGCGTTAGAAGCATTCTGGATTTGAAGAATCCAGCAATGAACAATAAGAACGAGTGTTTGGCAATTACCACGGACTTCCTCCCCTTCATATCTCTATGCAGACTGTAGATCACTTATGTGCTTTTATGGTATAGTTCATTCTATCCGCCAAGACCATCACTTCCGGTGCGGAACCCCAAAAAGCGGTGTTCACAGGGTATGTTCATCTTCTGGCATAACAGTTTTTACGGTAAGAATGTTGAAAGAAGGTTGGGAACTAACAGGAGTGGAAACGGTACTTGATGGCTTCGTTCCACGGGTGACCTTTGAGCCATTTTCAGGCCTCTGAAGAAGACGAAAGGTATCGAAATGCTAGGCCGTGATTATAAATAAAGAACACTTAACAAACCTGTTTGGCACAGAAGCACTTATACTATACTCTCAAAATTATTAAAATTGAATTAACATTTTAATTCATAATATCATTAGCATGATTATCAAAAACTTATTTGCATCAGTGAGGAGTACGTTGGAAATTTGCCGCCTATCGTTCGCTTCTGGGGAACCACGAAATAGCCTGGAGAGAAATTCACATGTGAAGCCTATATATTATGTCAATAAGTTACGTAATTGCTTAATTGATAAATGAAACAACAAATGATGTTTGATGATCGGTGCATAATTGAATTTCATTCTTTTCAACAAGAAATAAATTTTTTTAAACGAGTTAGTAAGCCAGTAATTTAAAGGTGCTAACTGCAAGAACGTTTGCTTCGGGACCGCCACACGACTTCTTCTATTTGCACATTTTTGAATTGCGCTTACGTTTCTTTGTATATTAGATGGCGGAATCCATGAAGAGTCATTGTTCCAACTTTCAATATTATTTCTAAACTCTGACAGAGGTCTAACGTTTGCGTAGAAAAGCAGGTGCAATTCAATTCTGAAAGAACGACTACAACTACCTCTACCTGGCAGGAAAAGTCCCTCTTTTTTCTGACAAGCCGTATGTTTTCTGAAAGTGGATGGAAACTAGACTTGATCATACCTTCTCTGCTTCTATACCCTTACTAGAAAAATATTGTCATTTTTATTTTCCAACGCTGTAGACTCTTCGTGCTCTTCTACCAGCCGTAAAATCCGTCACTCCATATTATGTGTATACAGTCGCAAAGTGGACGACAGCCTTATAGAGTGCTAACTGCTAACCTTGTTCTCGATCTCTGGGCAACTTGGAGGCCTGAGAAATCATCACACTTTTTCAAATACTATCTGATCCAGTACATACTTCCTTCATTCAATTTTATTCATCACATGAATTTGGAAGGCTAGATTATAGCTGAGTTTTCCTCTAAGATTATCTAAGTTTCTTACTTTTCTTCGACGGAAAACAAAATTTTTTTAGAATAGTTGAGCCATTAATTGTATACGGTTTCTCCACTGCTTGTATAGTGCTCTAACGTCGAAAAAACGCATTACTGGCTGTCCTTTGTCCTCCATGTCATCGTCCAAGTGGGCGAATTGTCGAAAACTCCGCGATCCTCATAGCTGTGGCACTTTGGCAGTAAGACTGACTTCAATTACGCTAACTAAGTTTTCGATGTAATAGGTGCTTTTGGTTGCACCTGCTTTTCTACGCAAACATTACGACCTCTGTCAGAACTCAGGAAGAATATTGAGTTGGAACAATGACTCTCTAATCAATCGATGACTCTTTATGGATCCCGCCATTCGTTTAAAAAGTTCATCCCTTGTTGAAAAGAATGAAATTCAACTTTGCACCAATCATCAAACATCACTGGTTATTTCACTTATTAATTCAGCAAATACGTGAGTACTTATTGACATTATACATAAAGACTTCACATGTAAATTTCTCTCCAGGCTTTTTCGTGGTAGCGAACAATAGGCAATTTTCGACGTATTTCTCACTAATGCAAATAAGTTTTTGATAATCATACTAATGATATTATGAATTATGTTAGCAAATTTGATTTTAATAATGTCGATAGTTTTATAATTTTGCTCAAAATGTTGACTTCTTAGTCTAAAGTCTCCCAGTCTTTCATGGCCGTGGGTGAAGGGGGTCAGCTGGGTTCCGATCCAGTGATGAAGAGGGTAGAAACACATTTTTCCCTTATCATATCTCACGTGCTATCACAATAATAGGCTTCATTTTGCCCGCTACTATCCCACAGTGGTACTGCAGTAGTAGTACGATGGGTTCGTAAAAATCAAGAAGCTGATACTGACAAAACTGATATTAAAGGCAGTAGCTCGGGAAAACTGCAACTGCATCTTTTCTGTTTCACGCCAAAAACAGTTTTGGCTGCAGGAAACTGTAACACCACTCTTTTTGATGGCAATTGGCTGATTGGCCCAAGCAGCCAATCGCGATTCGCCGCGGTAATCTCCTCTCCAGCCTCCTCAGCAATCTTCAGGGCGGGAACGCCATAGAAAGCACTTTTTTGACTTTTCAAGCACAGCACAGCAGCCTAAAGGATCCAGAAGGCCAAGATGGGACCGAAAGCGCGCAGTTGCAATTTTCCCGAGCCATTACCTTTAAGGAACCCGAGACTATGCTTTGCGTGATCAGCATGTTACAAAACCTATATATCTAAGATTTCAGCCTCCAGGGCTGAAAATGCAAAAAATCAGTAAAGTAAAATTGATGATTTTTGATAAGCTAACCTGGGTCTCTTTCCGCCCCGCATCTCCTATGCATGTACGCTCGAGCTTCCAGAAACAGTATCGTTCTTTGGAAAACTTGAGCTGCCTCCATACCTACCGTAACATTACATTACATACCCCGAGCCAGGGCCACTCTGGCTGGCGGTTCCTCTAGTACCCCGTTTCTTTTGCTAGAACCCCGCAAAATTTTATCATAAACAGGCAAAGCTAGAGCTTCACGAAACTTACGACCCACCGATATAGTCGTATGTCGCGAATGAATGGGAATACATCGTGTAATAATTATAATATCGTGTTGAGGTTGTACACGATGAATGAATGGAGATACAAACATACTCGCGTAGCCAACTCATAGGTATTATATAAAATTTCGGATACAGCGCAAACTGGTGATAGGGTAGAAGTAAGGCATCTTATGAAAAACGGACTGACGCGGTCGTACATATTCCCGGCCCTTGGTCTGATAATTGAATCCAAAAGGTTATAATGTGAACATGTGTATATTGGAGGTCTATATTCCTTCAGCATGAAGATCTTTACGCCCACGGTTGCACATGGTGTGGAACATCATGAATTTTTGCGACCCCGAGTAACAGATTCTAGGAAAGAACAACGCAACCTGACATATTTATATACTCCAGAGCCTAGCTCGAGAGTACAAATGGACATCGGTAAGACGACTGAAATTGTCAATAACGATTTTCCTACTCGGTCCCGCCTGCTGCGTAGATTGTTCCTAAAGCCACTTCCACATTTATAATGTACCAAACTTCAAGTGTAGACAGCTTCACGCAAAAAGTTTTGATAAACTCATGTGAAATAGAAGTTTTGCCTACCTCAGGTGAGGTAGGTGGGCAATTGCCCACCTAACTGGAAAGAAATTATAAACGCCCTTTATCCACATAAATTCTTCATAATTTATTTTGTTTCTTAGTCCCTGTGTATACGCACCCCAAATTTTGTGAGACATCGTCATCTGTGCGTTGCGAACGAATTCTCTTACTTTGTGACAGTAGGAAAATTACAGAAAAAAGCTCCACAACTTTGGTCAAATAAATTTTCCACGATGTACTGCACTATGCTTCTCCTAGTCCATGCCCGTGTATACTCCAAATTCTTAGTCATATCGTTAAATGTGCGCTTTAACCGAGACAATTAATTACACCCCAAACAAATTGGATTTTTGAAGACGACGCGCGAACAAGATCGTGTTTTTGCATGTCATCGTATTTTACAGTCAAGTAGCAACTTCCTAAGAATATATGTACATGTAAACGTTTAGTTACGATATTCCCTTTTCTTTAAACCCTAAACGATTTCTAGAATGACATTTGCCCACCTCGTGCCGGGCCCTGGTATACCGTTGGAACAAAGATAACAACATTAAACTAATCACTTGCAGCTCAAGTTGATGAAATTCAGATGTCATAATTCGCTAGTTTACTTAGAATGAGCTAAAACCTACAAAACTGTGGACATCTTTTTGATACTCGTGCCTTGCTATCGCTTTGTCCACGGATGTATCAGCAAATGGAGATGGTGGAGGAAGAGAAATTCGATTATAACGATGCGAAGGAGGCATTTCTATAAAAACATCCGAAAATGTAGCTCAATTCGGGGTTCAGGTGAAGTGACCAGTAAAAACTGACCACTAAGTTGTTCTAGCACGTAGTAAGTTGCTTTCTCACAGAATTCCTCCTCATTTTTTGGAATGGGAAGCATTTTTGAACTCAATCTTATTTTTTCCGTTTGCGATTCAGGCCACATTTTTGACGCTAATTCGATTATAGTCGCCCAAATCAAGAACCTGGAACTGATACATCAAACACCTCCTTAAAAAAGGATAGCACTTACGTTTGATTTTCCACCAAAAGCTGCTCATCTTCGCCTTCTGTTGTTATCTCCTCTGGCACAACTGGGACGGCAACGAAATCATCATACAACGGAAGTATAAAACCTTTAACGCATATTTTGCTCCATAAAGGTTCCACCAGTTGCTGACACTGTAGTTATAAATAGAATTTAGAATGCACATCGTTTCGGCACTTATATGACAGTTCCACAGGAATCTACTCAGTGAAGGAAAGCAACCAGATGCTTGAGGTTTAGAAGATTTTCTACCGAAATTGAAGTTGGTAAGATTTTGAACTGTTTAGTAAAGGGCCTTAGAATTTCTACCGAAATTGAAGTTGGTAAGATTTTGAACTGTTTAGTAAAAAGCCTTAGCTAAGTTTACGCCAAAGTCATCTGCAAAAGGGTGAATTCAAAAGTGAGAAAACCGTATCAATAGTGAAAATGGTGCTGGTGACACTGCTCATCGAAAAGGGTGATCTGAAGATGAGTCAAAAGGGCGCTCCAGAGTAATTATAATAGAAAGGTCGAAAAATGATTTTATCATAGAGAAGAGCGAATTTTCGGCTCCAGACGTATTAAAGCACAATTTTGAATTTATTATCTTTAGACAACCCACACCGATAGGCAGAGTGACAAGCGCGGTTTCTACCTTATAGAGCGATTTTCTCGCTTTGGAATTCATCCCTTCAACAGTCGCTAACGTCGATAAATGAATCAATGCATCGATTCATTCAATCGCATTTCGTGCCATGAAAATGCTGAGATTAGTATTGGAGTGACTATATTAGCGTGCGAGCCCGACCTCCTAACGCGCAAAACTTTGGAAGCGTTGTGGATCAACGCCAGGAATCCAAAGATGAATCGGAAGGAAGAGTGCACAGCCGTCACCAATGAACTGGCGCCATATCAATACCTCTGTGGATTTTGATATGAGGTCAGGTTATTCGAGCACTATAAAAAGGGAAGGAGGTATAGTTTGAGTATATGGTGGTCTAACACATCATCACATGTTATCGAAGGTGAGTCTTGGTTGCCCGATCTCCCTTTGCCATTGCCTCTCTCCAATTCAATTTTCGTCTTGAGCTAGAACCTTGGCGTTTATGAGAATGTTTTCACTTATGTTTTCGACTTGACGCTAGGCTTTGACGAAGGCGATCCCGCCAAAACGTTGGCCGTGAATAAAGTGTGTTAATACTTTGGTCGACGCTCAACAAGCTCAATCGATTATCAACAATAGATGAATCAATTTACTTTCGCCATCATCCAGTTGTCCGAATGCAAAATCTGTTTCAACTCCGTAAGTCGGTTCTCTTTTGCATCCTTTGTAAAAGACTGCGTTGGTGGTTCCTTTTGTGGTGTATCAGCCACTACAAAAATGTTTGACGAAGCTAAATTACTTTAGAAATGCAAAAATTGAAACTACCCAGTTGAGGTGATCCAGGAATACGATCAGCAGGTGAGAGCATTGGATGTAGACTTGGCGCATGCTGCAAAGGTTAGTATACTTTCTGTGCTAACGATAAGATGCTACCCAAGCAGGGAGGACCGAGGGGCCTTTGCCATCCTCAAAAATGGATCGTTTGAAAATAACATACGAGCCATAGAACTGCGCATGTGATTCACTTTTAGTGGTAGATTTGAAAAGAAAATTTCCAAAAATTAAAAAATTTTGACACTTTACCGCCTTGCCCTTTCTATCAAAATCATAAGGAAGAGCCCTGCAAAATTTTCTGCGGGCCTTAACCATGATTTTTTGAGAAAAAAAAGAGGCCGGCGGTACGCAAAAATATTTACGTAAAAATTATTACGCAACAATTATTTTGAAATCTTTTGAGCAAAATGAGTCATTCCCACGTTCAAAAAACCATTCAGCCACCGGCGCAAACTGTTTATGGTAGGAACATGTGGGAAGTAAATACCATAAGCACGTCCTTATTACACGCGCAAACTATTTTGTAAGCAAACCTTTTCGATTGGAAGCAGATCTTCATACGTATCATCCAGCTCAAATAGATTTTGCGATGAGGAGACCTGCTCCTCTTTTCTCAAGAAAGAGAGTTGACCTGAAGAAATCGGCTGGAGAAAAGAGCTAGACCGCTGCAGAAAACGACTAACATGCAAACTCCTTCGAATCGTCAATTTCATCTACAGGATTTGTAACGAAATCGTTTACGATGATGTCCGTCTGTAACATTTGTATAAAAAGAAGAATTGAAACTCTTTTTGAAAAAGCATCCTTAGAAAACAGCGTCAGCTATTCTCCGCATTAGGTGTTGCTACTATTAAATTAGGTTATCTCATAATTAATGCACGTTTTTCTAACCTCTTTTTAAGAGAGCTGATTCTCAAAGAAAAAACATTGTTCTCCAAAACCCTTCATAGTGTCGGAAAGACCGATTCCGCTAGTTTCTGATGTATGCTTTCGTTTTCGCAAATCTTTGTTGAAGCCGAAGTTCTATGCTTTCAAAGACAAGTAATTAAAATTTGAAATTCTCTCTCTTCACTCTCCTTTCTCTAAATCCATGAAGAGTAGACGGATTTTTTAAAAAAATATGCATAATGATTGCAAAGTTTTGTGCCACAAAACGCTTGTCTCTATGAGATTGTTGAAAAATTTCGAGCTGTGAAATCTTGTCTCAAACTTGGCTGGTCGCTGAGGCCCCTCTAAGCTGCATAAAAATTCTCAAGGAAAAAGCGACTGTATAAACTTCGCTATGTACACGTAGAGTAGATCTAATGCAACTAACGTTAGAATAAACGCAGCATTTCATCGTCTTTTCGAAGAAAAAAAATTCAAAAAGTTTTAAAAAGGCAGTTTTTTAGGATCTTCCAAAATACTGACAAGGGAAGGGTAGTTGGATGCCGCGGCCATTCCTAATGATTTGTATACCAAAAAATGCGCCTTCGAATGCAAATTCTAAATCTGTGTTCGAAGTCTGCGAAACGATCCTTTGAAGAAAGTTATGAACTTTTTTCCTTGAAAATTTAGCCTACTTTTGGATAGTAAAAATCACCAGATTTGATCTAGCCTACCGTTTGATGCTACTGAAGAAAATTTTAGACGTAGTAATATTTATTTAGACTATCTGGATCATACTCAGCATTTGGAAAGGAGAGAAAATTTTTTTATTGATGATTTTGACCCTCCGCAGGTACGCAATTTTTTTAATGAAAAAAAATCATAACTCCATTCAGATTATCGTTTCGCAGATATGAAAGACAGTCTACGAACCAGCATTCAAAAACGCATTTTTTGGTTTACAAATTATCATGAATGGCTACGGCATCCAAGTATCCTTCCCTTGTGAGAAAAATGGGTACTTTTAGTTTTTTAGCAAATTTTTCTCACAGAAATAAGCCGTAAAATTCAAACTTCACTTCATCGCACAATCGCCCATCGGCTATATAATGAGCAAAGTTCGCGCGATCCTATTACATTTGAACAGAAGTTAGGCTCTCTCAAATTATAGGTGTTGTGTCCTCCACGTCGGACACGTCGACTCTTCGTCCTGAGGCAGCACACGAGAAACAGAGAATATTTATTAGAAAATAATAGAACAGCCAAAAATAAGAGAGGCAGATGAGTGAACAGACGAACTGACAATGGCTAACAGCGAGCGCCTTTTATAGCGCTCATTTACCGCGCATTGAGGTCGCAGGCGCCTCAGCGAGGGCAGATCATACGAGGAAACAACTGATCAGGCACTAATACAACACCTCCCCCAGTAGGGTAGTTACACAAAACTAGCCTACGATAAAAAACATGAACTGGAAGAACTAAGAAATCGGTCATAAAAAGACATCACTATCACCTAAACAACAAAAATAAACTAATGAAACAAACATACAATAACATACTATGAACTAGGTTGGAACCGTTGTACAGGTCTTCTCGTTCTGCTCGACCTGCGAAGCGTTGTGGTGGCGTGGAGGGCTCGTGGCTTGATGTCGACGTAGACGTCGTTGAATCCACCGGTGCTGGCAAATCCCTGGCGATCGCTTGCTCGGATCTCTCTTCAGCAGCATTGCCATTCCTCGATAGTGTGTCGTCTTCTGTCAGAATATCTAACAGTATCTTCAAAGCTTCGGATTGTTGCTGAAGTTGTTGTCGTACGGCGACTTGTTCACTATCGCTTCGATGTCGCAGCTGATTTGCATGCTTCTTGCATATCTCATCACCAACCATAACTTCATAATTGACACGTCCAATACGTCTCATCACGGTTCCTTTCACCCAGTGGAAGTGGAGTGGCTTCCACTGCTTAGCGTATACCAGGTCACCAACTTCGAAATCTTTTCGAACGACTCCATGCTTCTAGTCGAACTGATCCTTCATGCGCTCCCGTCTCCTTCGTGCGAGTGGGTCTTCTGCATCTTCTGTCATCGGAAGTAACAGACTCAATTTTGTGCGCAAGTTTCTGCCTAGAAACAACTCCGCTGGCGTCTTGTCGTTCGAGTTCGTGTTTGGTGTTGTCCTATACGCTTGTAACACCACATTTAGAGCCTCTTCTGTTGGCCTCTCCTTCCACTCTAGTTTCTTGATTCCGCGTTCCAGCCTATCAACGAAACGCTCAGCTTGCCCATTCGATTGAGGGTGATACGAAGCAGTCCTTATGTGAGTGATTCCACCTTCGTCACACATCTATTGAACAAATCTGATGTAAACTGGGTACCGTTGTCGCTCACTATTGTTTGTGGTAATCCATATCTCGCAAACAAATTCTTTAAAGCCTTCACTGTTTTCACAGCCGAGATGTTGCTCATCTCGATCATTTCAGGCCATTTCCTGTACGCTTCTACAACGACCAAGTAGAAGATCCTTGCATAGGTCCAGCGAAATCGATGTGTATCCTCTGCCACACTCGAGTCGCTGATGGCCACGCTTCCAATGGTAATTTCGTCGGTTTTTTGGCTAATCTCTGACATTTCGTATATCTTCGTACCAACTCTTCGCAACTTGTCTATATTCGGCCAGTAGACGTAACTTCGAGCTAGTTTCTTCATCCTTACAATCCCTGGATGACCAATATGCAGTTCCTTTAGAACATTTCCTCGAAGCTCCTTGGGTATCACAACCCTTTCGGCTGACATCAGACACTGCTCCACAATTGACAATGTCTCTCTTCGATTTCGAAAATGTGCCAACTCTCCATTGACGTCTGGCCACTGTCCTTTCTTCAAGTAGATTATCACTCTCTGTAGCATTGGGTCCTTCTTCGTATAGGATTGCACATCTGATACCGTCACTGGCAATTTCCTTATGCAATTCTTCAACATGAAGTTCACGTCGTTCTCAACGGTAGCTATCACGACGTCTTCTTCGTTCTGACTCTTCTTCGTCAACCGTGACAAGCCATCTACTTGTCCAAACTTCTAGTCTTGACATACTCTATGTCAAAGTCATATTCAAGCAGTATTGTAGCCCATCTCATGAGTCGGTTAGCGGAGTAGACTGGAACTCCTTTCTTGCGCTGGCGTCCGCTGCCACGACGATCTTTTGCTTCGGATCATAGTGAGCAAGGTTCAGCTCACTTGACAAATCTCCTTGAGCTTTTCGAACGCTTCTTGGTGAATTCGAGTCCATTCCCACTTCGAATCCTTCTTCAGCATCGCATCCAACGGTCCACGAAGATCCTTGATCTTTGGCATAAACGCCGCATAGTACGTTATCATGCCAAGAAACGCTCTCAGTTGGCTAACATTCTTCGGTTCATTCATATTCTTAATTGCTTCGATCTTCGCTAGATTCGGTCTTCTGCCATTTTTATCCACTATAAAGCCAAGATATCGTATCTCTGGCTTGTCAAAAGAAGATCTTTCCAAGCGAATTCTAAATCCGTGTTCGGCGATTCTTGCGAACACAGCTAATGAGTTCTCCATTTGTTCTCTCGCTTCTTCCACAAACCAAGATGTCGTCTAGGTAGCTTGCTACCCCACGCAGACCATTCACCATTTCATTCATGATTTGCTGGATGATCCTGGTGCTGTCTTGATTCCAAAAGGCAGTCTGTTGTACTGATACAGTCCTCTGAGTGTATTTATTACCGTCATTTTCTTCGCTTCTTCTGACAATTCGATTTGCAAATAGGCGTCCGACAGATCTATCTGCGAAAACACCGTACCTCCGTTGAGGGATGCGAAGATATCCTCCGGCGATGGCAACGGATAATCGTACGACTCCAGCGCTTTGTTGAGTCCAGTTGAAAAGTCAGCACACACTCTCAACTTTCCACTCGCCTTCTGACGCATACGATAGGGGCTGCCCATTCGCTATGTGTCGCCGGACTTATAACTTTCAGGTCCAATAGCCTATCGAGCTCCTTTTCGACAGCTTCGAGCGCAGCATGTGGAACAGGTCTACTAGCCTTGAAAACAGAACGAACGTTTTCGTCAACCCTTAGGTGTGCCTTTTCCTTCGTGCATAGTCCCAAGCCTTCTTCGCAGACTTCTGGATAAACTTCCTTCAGCTTCAGAGCAATGTCCTTGGTTTTCTTTGTCTTCACTTCGGCAACCATTCTGCGCAAGTGATAAGACATATATTCGTTCTTCTGGCACTCCAATCTCAGCAGTGAGTTATGGGACGTCACGTATGCGTAGCCTTCACTTCTGGATCCTTTGATCTCATACTCACACCATAGCTTTCCATTCTTGACAACCACGTTCGTGTTCTCCAATCGAGGAGCACCCGTGCTTCTCCAAGTTGATTCGTTCAGAAGTGTGAGTATCTAAGAGGAAACTAACTGGATGACTATTTACTTTAGCTTCGAGATATATGCGTGTAGAATTGGCTTCCATTATCGCGTTCGCAATCTTCGCTACGCTGTGCACATGACGTTTTGATTTCGTCCAACTTCTGTTCTTATTGGTGTCGCTGCTTCTGTGGATTCTTCGTTTTGAATGCTGCTGAGTAAGCATTCTCTCTGCTATTTGTTCGCAAAACTTCTCCTTATGACCTGTCTTCTTGCAATTCTCGCAAGACCACAGCTTAGCTTTGCAATTTCTGGAAAAGTGTTCACCACCGCAGTTCCAGCACTCCACTTTTTTCGGCACTTCCTTGCTTGTTGCTTCGACGGCTTTAAAGCAACCAGCTCAGTCTCACTATCCTTCTTGAGACTTAGGAAGTTTTCGCATTCCAGGTACAACTCCTGCAGCGACATCTTTCGATCAGCCTTGTATTCCTTGTCCAGTACGGCAATGAGTCGCTGTCTGATTTCGGCTTCTTTCTGGTTCTTCAATCCAATCCACAGCAGGCATTTGATCCCATCGCTTTCGAGCTCATGTATCCTCGCCTTTTCGCACAGTTCGTTCACTCGATTGGTGTACATGAGATAATCTTCGGAATCCGCCTTCTCCAGCTTCAAACTCTGATACCTCATGGTAAATTCGGAGATCTTTACGTCGAACAGTTGCTTTAATGTTTCAACCGTTTATTCGAATTTGATGGCGGTTACTTCTTTCGGTAGCACATGCCTCCGATATTTTTCGAAACAATCCTTGTCCAGTTTTTCGCACAGCAGCCTCACCCTGGCGCTCTCTGTGAGCTGCTTCGCGTCTTCGACAAAGACTTCCTTGTACCAAGCGTACTATCTGCTGAAGCACATATCCGCCTCGGGGTCGAAGTAGAACTTTTCGATCCTGTTGCTGAGCGCGGACATCACATTCGGAATTTCGATTGAGGTACTGCTTCGTTCAGTACCAGTAATGTGCTTCAATATCTCCAACAGTTTTCTTCTTTCTTCTTTCATTAGTTCTGTGAGATTTCGCTGGTCTTCGTTGAACTCCTTCAGCATGATCAGCATCTCTTCTGATCCCATCTTCGCCATTTTGATCGCCTACTTCTGTTGCCGGGGGTTTCGGCCGCTCTCTGCTTTCTTCGACTCCACGTGCCTTCGTCATGATCGCCACTGTTGTGTCCTCCACGTCGGACACGTCGACTCTTCCTCCTGAGGCAGCACACGAGAAACAGAGAATATTTATTAGAAAATAATAGAACAGCCAAAAATAAGAGAGGCAGATGAGTGAACAGACGAACTGACAATGGCTAACAGCGAGCGCCTTTTATAGCGCTCATTTCCCGCGCATTAAGGTCGCAGGCGCCTCAGCGAGGGCAGATCATACGAGGAAACAGCTGATCAGGCACTAACACAACAATAGGTTTCTAAAAAAATGTTCGGGAATTTTTTAGGCTGTAAAATCTTTCTTAAAGCAGCTGCGATCCAACAAAAGCATGCGTTCTATAGTCAAAGGTTTGTTGTTTGCAGTGATTTTTATTGCGCTCAATAAAAAAATGGTTTTGGAAAAGAGTTATGTTCATTTGAAGTTGAAATTCATAAAACGTGCATTAATTATGAGACAACTTAATATATTTAGTAATGAAGCCTCCATCCGGGAGGAACTCTAAGTGGATATTCAACTTACTAGGTCTGATCTGAGACTATCGTCAAGCAGACGAAGACTTGAACCAGGCACTTTATTCTCGAATCTCCTAAAAAAATAGATAGCAATAAGAACCTGGGAGAAATATTCAAAAATTGAAACATAAAAGTCGAAAAAATGAAACTGGAATATAAAACAAACTCTTTGGGTGCGCAAGGGGATTTCGGAGTTTCCAGAACAGAATCATCGAGTAACGATTCGTTTAGACTATATTGCGGCACTAATCGTCGTCTAGGCGAATCCGAAAGCGACTGCAGAATTAAATTGGACAGGTAGTCACAAATTTTGCGGCGACTGAGATCCTGAGATTCTTTCTTTCATAATGAACATATGAAATGCCGATTTGAAGTGAAAACTGACTAAGCTGACACGGTCAATGGAAAGAAGTTCAAACGCATCCTTCTCCTGTTTCTCCTCAGACTTCAGCTCAACGTCCCACACTTCTCCAATAACTAACTTTTCCTGTTCTTGACTCTCTGCTCTAAACTAGGCTTGCTGATATGTTCTAAAACAATACTACAGCAGAATGCCATTGAGAAGCAGTTCTTCAAGAAAAGATCTCAACAACAGGAATGATGAGACATTTAAAAACGCGCTAGATCCCTTTCACTGCTCTACCTTCAGGAATGGATAATTTATTGGTTATACAGTGTGTCCCAAAAGTATGTACACACAGTTGAGCCGCCAATACTCTTTTCCCAAGGAGCTTTTTGCCTACCTCCAAGGATACCATTACAGAGCTGGCTTTAACTCCAATTACAGCATGGAACAAATTACCGATCGCTCCGCTAGTGTAGGCATACGATAATTTGGAGAGGGTTCTGAGCAATTAAGGGCCACATTTTGCTTCAGAAAAAAACCAAAGTAATTAAAAGATTTTAGCTAGCCTGAGTAGCATCTATCATTCTCAATATCAAACTTGCATTTCACCACAATTTCTTCTTAGTAATTATGTCAGATGTACGGTAGCAGCTGTAATTTCGCTATTCCTAAAAAAATTTGACTACACCGTTTAGAAAACTTCGTAAAATATTTTGCAAAGTTGATTATCGAATTTAGCGTGACCCTTGTTACAACTGCTTTGTTTTTTGATTTTATTCCGAACATAAGCTATTTCACAGATACTGTAAATCTATGTCAAAGAATATCTACAAAAGAGTACCAGAAGGCAGGCAAAAGACTTCTTGGGAAGAGAGATATTAACCATCAAACATTGTATACAATCTGAAACACTGCATCAATTTTATAAGGATTAATCAGGTTGAAGGCACCTTTCATTCTAACTTAGGGGTTTGAGCTTTCGGGAGCTTACAAAAGGCTTGAGATATACATGACGATGGTCGCTATAGCTGACGGTAAGACGCTGCCAGCAGCAACGCCTTTTGTGCGTATCGATTGCGCCAGGCGACGCTGCTGCTTCTAGCTGCTGCAGCCAACGCGAAACAGACCCGCTATAGCTAGCGATGCTGCGCTGCTCTACGCTGCTGCTTGCTGCTTGTAGCTGCTCCTCGCTGCTATGCTATATAGAGCTCGCTTTTGGTAAGCTTCTTTCAGCTGCTTCAAGCTGCTAACGCCAAATTTGCTCGGATTTGTTCCTTTTTAACATAATTTGGAACTTTGGAGGGATTTCTAGAGCACTAGTTGCGATACTGAATATGACAAATTCGCAAGGCCGAAACACATGCGTCGATAACAAAACTATTAAAAATTGACAGAGTCAACAAAGAACTGGATCTGGACAACTGCACAAAACTTTTGCGAAGAATAAAATCAGATTGGAGTAGCGATGAAAAGCTGGAGAATTTCAGCGATTTAGTGAGATGTTACCAGTACACCTCAATAAATCAATCGCAGCTATGACCTCGGTTGTTCGATTTTTGCCTCAAGCAAGCATCAAAATTCTAATGCAATTTGTCAAGTGGAATTTGTCAAATGATTATTTTTCTAGTAGATGCAACACTTGATTGACATTCTGTGGTTCTTAAAAAAATTTGTTGATGAGAACATGAATGATATCTACGAAAGTCCCCCCAAAATGGCTTTTCGTGCGAATAAAATGGACTTAGTCCATGCGGTGCGATAAGATATCGCATTCGCGAAACCATTCATTCCACACAAAACTTTTTCAGCAAACCTTTTCTTCAACTTGCCTCAACCTGTTTGCTCACTCTTGCAAACTCATTTCCACCAAGTGGTCGATATCTAATTAGGCTGACCTAACATTAAGTGTCAGTCACGTAGATATTTTATTCTTTCCCGCTTCTTTACACCTCACAAAATGCCATTTATTATCGATGACTATGCATCTGAATCACTTTCAAAACTAAATTTCATGCAAAATCCGGCTCTTTGCCTTTCAAAACTTCTTGAATCAAATTCGTAAATAGAACTTTTTGCAGAAACCAAACTTTGGCTAGCTCTCACTGGAATCTGTGAATTATAATGCTTACCTTATAGGAACCTTGTACTGCACTACAACCCAAAAGGTTTCCTAAGTCGGAAAAACTACGAATCTGCAAGATGACTTCCCAAATGTTCTACTGCAAGATGATTTCGCAAATGTTCTACTTTAGCTCTTCTTTTCCTTCTAGCACAAATGTTCATATCTCTAAATAGTTGAATGTACGGACTATCGCTAATAAGAAATTTTTCACAGAATTTTTCTTGCTAGCTAGCGCCATTTTAGTAAATCTTGCGACCAAACTCAAAATCGCGTTCAGAACGCCGTCTTTGAGGTTCGGTTTTACGAGAATATGTAGTCAAAAGATAGCTTCTGAGTAATTGTATTTAAAACGCAAATCTTTCTCATTCTCAAATACAAATCATGAATTTAGGTTTGGTTGATATTTTGAAGAGTTAACAAACTTTATTGGATTTACATAGAGATTTTCGCATCGACCTGATATTCGGAAACATCTGAGTTTGTTAGCGAATATTTTGGTGAATTTCACCTTTTTCCATGACTTTTACAGCGTTTATATGTGTTTAGAAAGAAATATTTATTTCAGACTTTTTAAAAGACGTGAAACTTTTTCCACTCACTTGTCATATAAAAGACGTGAACCTTTTTCCACTCACTTGTTACCAAATGAGCTAAGGAACACATTCTCAAAAAATCGCCATCAAAAATATGCAAAAATGTCAAAAATGGGCTTAGTCCCAGCTCACCTTGCTGCTGGGAGTAAGGCTTTCAAGTCCATTCAAAATGGAGGTAAATTCCATTTTGCCCCATTCTAAATGGACTTTTCGCATGATTCTTTCGCAGCGAGAGCTCAAGGTTGAATCATTTTCATTCACACCGCTTTGCCTCGTGTGCGATGGGATAATTTTGGATAACGCGAGCGAAGACAGATTCCGACCACTCTTCACCGCGAACGAATAAAATGGGGCTTGAAAGTTCATTTTCCTCCACTATGGACTTTCGTGGATGTCATTCCAGGATGACTTTTTTGGACCTCATGTAGTCATTTTCCTCAATTTTGGTAGTTCTCAAAACTTACTTTCTTAATGGCCTGAGCTAAGCGTAGTGATTGGTAAAACTACTTCATTCTTGCACCCAAAGTGTACTCAGCTCAGCAGCCACAAGCAGCTAGAAGCAGCGCAGACATTGGCGATTCGCCAACCCGCTATACCTCTATTGTCAGGTATATCTCAAGTCAAAGTAGGATCTCCGCCGATGCCCAAGTCGCGACGCAAAATGTCGCTTTGGAAGCAGAAAGTTGTTTTGGAATAGCGAAGAGGCATGAGGACCTCAAGTCGGCACCGCTCCCTTCAGTAATGCTCGCGCATCCAGGCGCGCTTATCCAATCACCGTTTCGAAAAACCGGCCTGCGTACACGTACTTAAATTTACACATGGCTGCGCAAAGCGCGCCCCATGACTTAGTGCGAAATTGGCCGCCGCGCATGGTTTAAACTCCCGAAGTACGCTACCCATGATCAGCTTCGATTTTTTGCACACAGTTCCTGCCGTTTAAGTGGTATTTTGCATACTTTCATGTCTTGCCGTATTCTTTGCTTGTTGGCATGCAGCTGATTGCAGTGAAATGCTAACAAGTGTGTTCTTTGCATGCAGTGAAGGCGATGTGACCATCCGTTATGAAAGTATTGGTGCTTTTTCAAATCCATGGCGCAAATCGTAACGTGAATAAATTGTACGGAAAGAATTCCAATGATGCTGGAGTAATTTGATTCGGATCGACTAATGCATGTTTTTTTCAAAGCTTTTGCTTCTATGAATTGATTCGTAGGCAAAAAAACATTATGAAGTGTTAGTAGCTTGAATGTCCTCTTCTCTTTGAACCTCGGCATTACGATGATGTAGTTCTATTTGTTAGTTGTGCAAGCACGAGGCTTTCGGCGAAGCTTTATTAGTAGAGCGGCCTAACGTTTCGAGCAATCCTTGTCTTCAGAGGCCGTGGCTCTACCGCTATCGCACCGATGGTGATGTGCGACCGCCTTCTCCGAATTAGTAGTGCAAATTCAATTTGATTTGCGATTGAATCAATTGAATCAATGGCTCTACCGCTATCGCATACCACCATCGGTGCGATAGCGGTAGAGCCACGGCCTCTGAAAACGAGGATTGCTCGAAACGTCAGGCCGCTCTACTAATAAAGCTTCGCCGAAACGTGTGCTGGCACAACTAACAAATAGAATTACGAAGTGTTCTATTAGTTCATTTTACCACAATGTCTTTTGTTTCTGACATGCGATCATACCTGAAACTGTTTGAGGGCGAAAGGGCATCTCATATGAGTGAAATAAAACCATCAATGTATATCACCTGATCTCTATCTTGGGCCTTGGGCACGTACTAAGATCGTTTTGTAATTTGGAGCGGCGCGCTTCGTCCACACTGGAGGGCTCTGCGTAATCCGCACCAAGGTTTCCTGTAAGTTGATCTCTGCTACATTCTGCATCCGATTGAAAAGGGCTGCTCTCTTTTTCTGAAACATTTTGCAGGTGCTGTCTACGACGATACCGCCTATAATTTGAAAAAAGTGCAATTGTTACCAGAGTTTGCGACATTCGCGTGGCATCGTCATTACCTCCCGGTTCAAAATGGATGAATTCATAACCAGGGTCAAGCGTGGGGTGAGGCACGCAACACCTGGGGGGGGGGTCGTATTGAGGAGTCAAAAGGGGAGGGGGTCGTTGGGTAATCCGATAATAGTGATAACATGATATTCGTATCATATCCATAATTAGCATGTCAATTAACCCCTATAGACAAAGTGTGAGCGAATTCTGGAGATTTAAGATACTAGGCTACCTAAATGAAATGGTCAAATTCCAACATGGTTAACTTTGTTTCAAAGGTGAATTAGCTATCCGTTTTCACACTCAAGACAAAGCACTACTCCTTCTTTGTCCACCTCAGGAATTCCGCCTTAGAAGACCTGCAAAATGTAGAATTAGAAGTCAACCAAAATCTCGTTTTTCCCGTTTTTCGCTTTTGATCGCTGTGCTTTCACCAAATATTACTTAGAGCTAAGAAGACAAATCAGGCTCCAAACAGTCCTATGGAATCTACAAGGTTTAGGCTATCGATTTCTATAAATACTGTCCGCTAAAAATGTTTTTTTGATATAGTTAATGGGGTGCGGTACACTCCCTTAAAGGCACCCAAAAAGGAGGTTGGCGAGATTATGATGACATACTAGTGTGGGCCCCCACACTAGGCGAACCCCCGAGCTTCGCCGCAAAAGACTGCTTCTTGAGCGAGAAATCCGTTCCGGAAGTTGCAAGTGGGCGGGGCGAAGGGTCGCCCCGCCCACTTGCATGCTTTATCTCGCCTGCGCTTGTTGCAGAAGGTTCTCGAATCAGGAATTTCTGGGAGTTTCGCGCATTTTCGACTCCAAATTCGAAATCAGGGCTTTCAGAAGGCCTGAAGGCGACAAAAACATTGAATTCGAGATTTTGGGTGGACGGTGCCTTTGGAAGGTGCGGCTGCCGCAGCTTTTAATGGAATGTGCCGCACCCCCTTAACTTGCCTTTTTTTGGAGCCGAACGCCCCACCCATAAGAAAATTATGGTTCTTTCAATATGCCCATTCAGATCAAAATCAGCCGTCAAATTACGTGATTGTAAAGTGCAGTTACAGATAATGGGGCGACAGCTCTCAGAAATTTGAAAACTCTCCAGAAAAAGATGGTGTCCTCCAGAATGTCACACTTTGAGGTCCAAAGGTTAAGAAGAGGAAGAAGGGGTCGTTTGAGGGCTTTCATGGGAGGGGGAGAGGGTTTCGAAAGACTTGTGCCTGAACTCTTTTTCAACACTGGTATGCTATCTTAGGTATATAGTTCAGGGGGGGGGGGGGCGGTCTTATTAAGACAGCAATCAGGGGGGGGGGGGTCGTAACCAGCGATCGTGTGCCACACCCCTTGCTTGACCCTGTTTATAACGCAAGGGCACTTCTCAATTCAAATTAACACCCATGGTTGAAAATACGGTGTTAGTGTTTTGGATAGTGCACGATGGCATTCAAGATGGCAGTTTTAACAATTCGTCTCAGACATTTTTCTCTGCACTCATGACTATGCACTCAAAACTCAAGAGAACAAAAAATCAAATTTTATCACCTTCGTTCGAAACCTTTTCCGTCTCTCCATGGCTGTGCTCAAGTGGACTGAGATTAGTATTTCCACTTTCCGCGGTTTCGGCTATGTCAGCTGCATCTCCGATAAAGCTTGGCGTTTCCAAAGTGGAGGCGTCTTCACTAACATGTGTTACAGTTATGTCTGGAACGCTAACTTCTGCTTCACTCCAAATTCCAGAGTTGGTTATAGACACTTCCAATCCGGTGTTTTCGTGAGGAGTTATCATAACGTCGTTCATTCCGTCTACCACGTCCACAGACTGGTCTGCTTCTACAGAAGGCGCATTCGGCAGCATTGGCCCAGTAATAGCAGTTTTTGTGAAAGTTCTGTCAAATAATTTTGCACTGCCTGACAATGACTGCTCTTCAGGTGAAACTTCCTCAATTGTGGCAACCTTCAAAATACATGTGGCTGACTGCAATTATCTGTGGTAGATTGCAAACCTTTGCTTGCTCAAAGTAATATATACCTCTGTCAGTTTGTCAAGAAGCTGGTCGGCATCATCCAAGGAGTTTTCATCACCGCCAACCGTCACTGTCTGACGTGACAACATCGCCAGGGTTTCCACTGTGTCCAAGGTTCTACGTGATGGATGAGGCTCCGCATCTAAACAGAAGTCGACATACAGAATAAAACGGTAAATAAGCACACCGATATGTTGCTTTTCCAATTTCGCATCATCCACATCCGATTGGTGCAGAGTAAAAGAGCTTGCTGAACTACGAGTCTTCTGAAAAAATTTATTCAAAAATGACATAAACGGACAAGCCCGCCTACAAATAATCCCAAAAGCTTGGATTTTCAACTTGAAAAACATTTGATTACCATAAAACTTCAAAAACATAGGGCTTGCTGTGCATTGGTCAAACGCTTTTATATAGTTCTTATAAATCAATGATAAGCATGCAACAGACTTCAACGCGCAACAACAATAAACTGAAGGAAATTTACTTCAGCACCAAAAAAATAATAGAATTTTCCAACAAGGTTTATACCATAGCTGATACGCAAAAACCATATCATTTTCCAGTTGCAAAAATACATAAACTGAAATGAATTCGAGCTTTCAAAAAGCAGATTTATTCACGTTTTATGGTAATCGATTCCAAATGATAGAATTTCAGATTTTCATAGTACAGGACTTGAGTGTGAATGATAATTTCATAACTTCTACCTCTTCTTCATCAAAGTAAGAAAGTGACTCTTCGCAAACGGTAGACTGCGAGGCAGTGCGTATAATTCCTACATCAGTACTATCCTGAAAAATGTACTTGCAAAAAGGAAAAGCTGAAAATTTTAGAAAAGTTTGAAGAATGCTTTATCACTTCGGACAATGAGCTTTGTTGATCCGCTGCAGATTCCGACACCAAAATGTTGTTCCTTTCGTCTGCTGTCGCAGGCTCCTCCAACTGACCCAGGTCTAAGGGTTCTACCCCAGCCCGACGAGAAGTTGAGTGTAGCACTAATACTAGGAACTATTTTGGGAAAGAGACAAGAATCATATCTGCAGACCTTTTTCTTCCGAAAAAAACTCATCCAGTTGATTAATTAGCTTCGTTCTTTCAGAAACTGCGCGGTTATACTGAATGATTTGGGCTCTTATCGACTTTGTACTAAAGCAAATAAATAAATGTCTATCCTGGCACTATTGATCGAGAATAAGTTACATTTGCTCGATATCCCTTGTTTTCTCTTCAAAATCTCTAATCAGAATTTCAGCCTGTTCGCGGCGAATGTCCAAATTTCGGCGCAGAGATCGTACACTGAGATTCCAAAGGTCGCATTCAACTGAAACTCAAGAAATAGGTATTTTGAGAAACAACAGCAGCCTCTTTGTCTCACCAGTCTCGTTTAATGCTCTTGTATCCATTCTCACAGGCGACAGTTCATTCTCGTTAGCGGTGGTAGGAATCGTAATGTTTTCTGGACGAGAACTATCGTCCTCTCTAAACCTTAATTTTCTCGCTGAATTCTCGTAACGAATTATCAGCAACCAGGTTATGAAAAAAAAACATATAATCGAGTCCCAGCCAGGTTCACATAGAGGCGGAGCATTACGAACATCTTATAACGTTGATAGACTTCAGACGTTCACGTCAAGATTACTTTTCAATCTTTATCAAAGTCACACCTTAGCTGCTATGTCCCCGCTCCTATCTAACTTTGAGAATTTTGTGATATATAGATCACAAATAAAATTCGTCAGATTCTTTGAAATCATTTAAATGCGACCTATAACAGTTGCAGTTATACTTTTCAATAAAAGCTCGTCTTTGGATCTGCGCAGTAGCCTGTGTCGAGAGAAGGCGTTTGATCCTGTTGCTGCATTCTTCGATTTTATCGTAAACTTTCTTCTGTTGTCTTTCAAGGATTTGCAGAAATTCATGCTTAAATTAAAGGCAGTGTCAAGGCAAATCTGGGCACGTGAGGTTTTCGCCTAGAAACTTATGAGGGGGCCTTAACAAGGCACTGCCTAAGAGGCAGTGCTAAAAATTCATTCACGGTTGAGAAATCCGTAGCCAAACCCTCCTCGTCTGCGCCGTGACCGTAACACTTAACGCGCGAACATAACTTCCTTTGCATTATGATCGGATATTCTGTCAAGTCGTTGACCGCACGGAGCGGCAGTAGATTGTGGAGGACGCGTCGCGCGGCCGAACGCACGTACCAGTACGAATCTCTGATGAATGCAGTGCTCCCGTGACATTTCAGCCGCGCCTCGGCTGCTCCGCAATTTACGGCAACCCGACGCTATTCCAGTATCTGGGCACCAAAATTTTTTGTCGTGGATTTGCCTGAAACTTGGCCTAGGGATGTTATTCGGCTTCCTGATGCCAAATATCACGTTGCTTTTGTACGATAGCGTCATTTCCTGAGGTTACGGTGGGTGTACGGTAGGGGGTCGAAGTCATGGATTTGGCTGAAATTTACTCTAAGGGGATTATTCGACATGCTGATCACCAATGTCGTGCTCATTCCGCTTGAAGCCTTTGCGTGGTATACCGTGATCTACATTGGCTCGAAAGGCGGAAAAATCTCTAATTCATGGGCTGCAAATTACCGTAACTCCACTATAAGGCGTTATTGCAACGAGCGAGCATGATATTCGTAAATAGCATGCTCAAAAGCCCTTCTAAGCAAAGATTTAAGCAAATTCGAAACTTCGACTTATCTATGGTATACGTTCCGACTCAAGTAAATGGCGTTTTTGAAAAAATTAGCACGATATGAATGTTCAGAGGGCTCAATAACCTCCCTTGGCGAAGTTTGTAGCAAAATTCATGATTTGCTCTCATACCGTGCACCTACCGTAACTCCATGAAAAAGCCACAGAATGCAGAAAAAGTGTGATATTTGTGATCAGCATGTTGAATAATCCCCTGAAGTAAATTTCAGCCAAATCCATGACTTTGACCCCCTACCGTACACCCACCGTAACCTCAGAAAATGACGCTACGTACAAAAGCAAAGTGATATTTGGCATCAGGGAGCAGAATAACACCCCTAGGCCAAGCTTCAGGCAGATCCACGACAAAAAATTTTGGTGCCCAGATACTGGAATAGCGTCGGGTTGCCGTAGATTGCGGAGCAGCCGAGGCGCGGCTGAAATGTCACGGGAGCACGACATTCATCAGCGATTCGTATTGGTACGTGCGTTCGGCCGCGCGACGCGTCCTCCACAATTTATTGCCGCTCCATGCGGTCAACGACTTGACAGAATATCCGATCATAATGCAATGGAAGTATGTTCGTTCGTATTCAAACCCAAAGTTGGGAGAAATCAAAAAATAAAACTGAATGAATAAAATTTATCATCTCAAGTACCTGCCCCAATTCAGCTCAGGCTAAAGTTGGCATGAGGGAGCCCGCGTCGCGAGGGTACTGCTCGAGTCTACGAGCTAGATGTCTCGTCGATCTCTTCGCTCTCTGCGGCAGCACGCGTATGTAGCGCAACCCCTGACGTTGCGAGCGCGCAAATTCAGCCGGCATTTCGGCCTGATCTCGATTGGGGCAGACCGTAACGTTAGTATTTCAAAGGAGCAAAATTTGTTATACCAATTAAAACATCTGCGCGTAATTCCCTCTTTAGAAAAACATTGATGATCGTCTAATTCTAGAGGAAAAAGCCAATGCAAGAGCGTATCATGCACTGATTGAAGACAGTTTGCGATGGTAAGCATAGTCGTTTTAGCCATACGTGGAAGACCTCAGCGTAGCCCGACCGCTTCGCAAGAGCCAGGCGGAGCGTCTGCGAACACAAGACGAGTATTTTTGTCGGTAAAAAATCGAAATGAAGAAACGGCATAAGTTCCACCACGATGTGTACATCTGACGACTATGCATCCCGGTCTTGCTTTACCGTCTGTCTCATGGAGTGGGTCCTGCGTGACCACTTCGCTTGGGCTATGCACCGCATAGGAATGTGCTTTCTCATAATTTTTCCACACCTGATTAGCGACTGAAGCTCATCCCTGTCTTTCCTATGCGTGGAAAATGTTTAGCCGACAAGTTTGAAAACGCGGTGGAGAGCCCGAGCGATGCGGTCGAGCGGGATATGAGCCACTAAAATCTCACTCCAAATGAGACAGAGGCTCTTGGCTAAATCTAGCGCACACTAAGAGCATCTTAATAGATTATTCAGGGTACTGATCGAGCTGCGAAGTCGAGATAATAAACGGTTTGCCAGTAATATGGGATTTCTACCTCACTTCGAAGGTTTCAAAAAAGTGGCATTCAAAAATTCCGTCTGTGAAATAATACGAAGAAAAGTAAGTGCGAAAAATCTGGAAATCTATTTGCTCACTACTCAGCGTACTGCTTGCAGCTGCAGCGCAAGCAAAATTTCAAAGAATGGGTCGAAACTTCTCAGAAGAAGTTACAATACTTGCTAAGAAGGACCTTGATGCTTTGAGCCAGTTTCTGCGCAATAAGCAGTATTTCTTTGGGGATCAACCAGTGACGGTAAGACATCAATTAAAGGCTAGTCCCAGACAGAAGGGGCGGTCCATGAAAGCGGAGCGGGTGCGTGCATATGAGCCGCGTTCGCAGCCGCTTCGCAAGCCAACCATTTAGTCGGGCCTCCCCTCTTTCAGGCCAGCTTGCAACAGATCAATTTCAGCTTGACTGCGAGTTCTTTGCACACTTGGCGCAGTTTCTATATACACCTCCCGCTTCACCAGCACGTGTTAACCTCGGGCACTTCCGTTGAAATCTCAGGAGAATCGTGTCAAAAAGTGCAAAAGACAGCGTCACCACGTACTCACGCTGGTTCACCTTCTCTAGAGCGCAGACGGTATGTTCTTTACATTTGATAGATAACTAACCTCAGTGGCGAACGCCGCCTACAACTTGAATTTCTGCATCTGAAAATCGGAACGACTTATGCGATGTAACCGATAATTATAACCATATACCTTGCGTAGGAGTAAAGCTTCTGTTTTTTTTTCTTGTTCATTTTTCCTTTGATATTCTCGATTTTCCTACGACTGCCGCAGTGTCGGCACTCGCCAACGCTGCGGCAGTCAGGAGGAGAAAGCGAATTCTAAAAATGAGAAGCGTTACTTGTAGTACCTACTAGGGTCAATAGACCTTCCAGCAGATGCAAGGACCGGGAGTACGATTAGCAGAAGTTAACAGAAATTTTTCGCGCACCGTGTTCCTGGTCGCAACGAAATCAGCAGTGCAAGAACCAGTATTTTTGGTGCGATATTGCTTATGGCAGGTCATGTCGTTTTATGGCCCTCCCCCCTCCCCCCTCCCCCCTCCTCGCCCAGTCCTGCCACGTTAGCGATGCATATTTTTGTAAAGCGCACAATTTGAGCCTGGTGTATGCGGCAACACGGCTGCCGTGCGGGTTTGAATCCTGACGTGGAGTCACCGCTGATTGCTTTGAACGAGAACATGGAACCCTAATATTAAAGCAGAGTGCGAGAAACCGCATGACAAGGACCTACTTGGGAGAGTTTGGTAGAGGAGAAGAGGAACTACTTTGGACATTCGTCCATGAAAGGATTTCAACCTCCTCTGCTCCTCTCAAAAAAAAAATTTCTAGTCCCGCCACTATAAAGGATTGAATAAGACACAATTTCTTTTCATTCGCTGTTTCTTTCTCATTACTGTTATCGACAGTATGTCAATCAAGTATAGCAGACGTCATCCGTCTAGTCACCTCGGTGTGATGTGTGTTACTTCACACAAATTTAAAATCTCGGATAAGGCGATGGGGTCCCGCCGTGCCGTGCTTACACGCCAAGCTGCCTGCTTTTTATATTTGATGTTTTTTTAGTTCTTACCTTTATGGTCTAGTTTTCGATGTTATCACCTTTATACGTCATGCATGACGTTTCAGATCGAATATCTCAGAATTCATCACTTTCACTTCAGGTAGGGAGCCGAAGGGCAACCTTGCAGAATTTTGAAGTCTGCGTTTTTTAGTTCCGTCATATGTATAACTAGCTGGCATACCCGGCTTCGCCGTATGTTCCGAATAGAAAATTCCATTTCTTAACCGATCCGAACCAAACTTGGCACACATACACTACGGGCCCCAGCGGGTGTCATAGGCTACTTTTCGTCATCGATCGATATCGATTTTATCGATTTTTTTGCAAAATTTGAGCTAGGGGGCTGGAATTTGGCAGGGGAGGGGGTGTAATCGAGCATGCTGGTCACCACCTCCCAAATCCCAGCCTTCTAGCTTAAATTTTGCAAAAAAATCGATAAAATCGATAAGAGTAATGCACGATTTTAAAAACTAATATTGTATTCGGAATCCCCATGCTCACTTACCCCCCTATGCCAACTCCCAGCCCCGTAGCTCAACGTTTGCAAAAAATCGATAAAATCGATATCGATCGATACGAAAAGTAGCCTATGACACCCGCCGGGGCCCAAAGTGTATGTGTGCCAAGTTTGGTCCCGATCGGATCAGAAATGGAATTCTCTATTCGGAACATATACAAACAGACATTCAGCTTTATATATAAGAAGAGTAAAGTAGTCTTTAAGGCAGTGTTAGTTTCAACTTCCCTTTCACTGATATCGAAAACTGTGGTTTTTTTAATGTCGAGTTTCTATTAAGAAGCTGTCTAAATCAAAGGAAGTTGAAACTAAAATTGCTCAAGGGATACGTTACCCTCTCTGCTCATAACAATACTGAAGAAAGCGGATCTACTTGCAAATCCTGCAAAGATGCCTATCTGCCTCCCTTACCTGAAAGTAAAAGTGATAAATCTTTGGATCTTCGATCTAATACGCACGCACGATGTATGAAGGTTACAAACATCGAAAATTAGACCATGCGTAGCAAAAAAAGCTCATAAAATATGAAAAACAGGCGCAGTTAGGCGTCAGATTCTAACCGTACTGTGCACTTGGTGTAATTACGGTGCGGCGGGACCCCATCGCCTCATCCGGGATTCAAATTTGTGTGCAGTAACACACATCGCACCGAGGTGACTAGACAAATGACATCTACTATATATAGTTCATTTATAAAATGGCGAAGAACGATTTTACTGCGGACTTTCCACCCATCGGAGCATATAACGCTTATACAAGAAGGCATCACCTTAACGTTCAGCTTAGCCACTTCCAGTGTCTAAATTTTATCATACGTAAGCAAAAAACCATTCGACTAGAGATGAAGAACAAGAAAATGCAAATTTCGGAAGTTGCGTGCGTGTCGCGCTCGATTTTTCAAATGCCCTTATAGCTTTCCCTTTAGTGGTATACTCACGATATTCTCACAACTATTTCAACGGAAACGTTTAACGAACGCTCTTCTCACCTGGATTATTTCCATCTTCGACTCTCTCATAACGCTGTCTAGCTTTAACACATCATTGGACATCAATCCCTGCGCCATTTGAACCGCCAGAGAAACACCAGACGAATGCGGGACTTCCTTTATATTACCACTCCTAAACACTGCCAGCAGCTACTTTGAACAAATCATGGTATGCAGGACGTATCCACGGTATTATAGTAATAGCCTAAAAATGGGTGGGCAGATATCTCTTACCGCTGCTCTTCCACGAGCTCTCCCAAATTGCGAGTTTTTGACTTCTTGTTTTTTAGTGCCGGCTCTACGCCATTTTCCATGGTGTCATCGTCTTGACTCATCTGTAATAAAAACATTTTCGGAGAAACAGTTACACGAACGAATCTCTGAACTTTGACTGTTCCACAACGGTCAAAGACACGTCATAATAGTACCCTCTTTGAGTTCGGACAAACCGACCATTTCAACTGAGTCATTTGAGAACCTCCCAGTCTGAGGCAATATTTATCAATCTCCCACTCGCTGTGCGGACCATTGTTAACGAGAGCGCGCACAGGTGAGAGCGCCCGCGATTTATGAAAGTCTGGGAAGCGCGGCCCAAATGGGCAGCGCCGGCCGACTTGTCGAGATGGGGAACTGCTGCCCGACTGTCGTGCCCGACATGGCCAAACTTGCCAGATCGGACCATATTCTTCAATAGACAGGAGCCCCGCCCAGCTTGGCTTCATATATCGCGGGTGCCAGTGCCCGCGCCTGTACGGGCTGTTACCTGTAGGGGAACCCCTTCCTATACAGGAGATTGATAGATACCGCCCCTGATTAGCGCTCTTCCACCGTTGCAGGCGACCATTACCCAGTCGAGCATTTGTCGGTGAACACCAGCACCCGATCAGATATCAGGAGATCAGTAAATACCGCTCTGAACGAAAAACTCTTCGGTCGAATTCACAACCTCTCATTGCCACTTCAGGATTGGAACATAAGAGTTGTCAGATCTGAGCCTCCCTTACAAAACAGTATTTGCAAGAGATCAAATAAGACGAAAAGAACTTAGAAAGTTGAGGAGCGGAAGCTCTGCAAACAATGCCTAAAAAGTTGAGGAAAAGAAGCTCTGCAAACAATGCCTCAAGCCTCACACCGGCACAGTTTTCTCAATGTTGCGCAATAGCCATGAAAAGATTTCAGGAACTCAAAAGGCAGCAAAACCGATCTACTTTCAGACTAACATGCCACCGTATGTAAACTACCACGAACCGTTTTACTATATGTTTACAAATTATACAAATGAGCTCTTTCTGCCAAATGTTGCGTCGTTTAGGAAGGACTGCAAGAGCAAGGAAAAATTGTTTTATACTACGTCAAAGAGGTTTAAACACTCACGTTTTCTATTTTGCCGTTGAGATTGGTATTTGACACATTCATTCGACTTGGAACAGCACCAGCATCATTTACAATCTTTGCTGAGCCCGGTGCCTTCGACTTCCGTTGTTTTACCATATCTACAAATAAGTTTGAATTGACTCATATTTTCCCTGAATTATGTGCACATATAATATGAATTTCCTACTAGAATCTGGCAGAAGGGAAGTCCAAAGCACTGTAGAGACTAGAAGAAAGCGACGAAAATCGATAAGTGCGCAATGAATTTACAAGATTTTGCGTATACGATTTGAGTCTTGCAAAAATTCAAACACAACGAGGAGACAATCGTCAACTTCTTTTCCTCCATCCAAATCTCTTATCTGTCGTCAAATAACATGGAAGCTGTCGTAAGATGACAGTTGTTTACTTATTTGCAACTCATGCAAAAAACTTGGAGATTTTATAACTAGTAAAGTGGCAAGCCTTGGGATAAATCTGTAGTTTTTTTTGTTACCTTTTGAGGGTCTGTTTATAGGGTATAATCTTCAAAGATAAGTCTTGCTCATCAGAGACCGTGTTTTCTATAGATGTTGATGACGCTTTGGATAGACTGGTACGACTGCGCAATTTGCGATATGCCGACGATGTCTATTTGAAGATTTACTATAGTAAAATGCAGCCAAGCGAAGATCATCCAGATTGTCCTGTTGCCTTAGAAGCTGATTTAAATTTTTAATTTTGCAACTGTTTCTTTGCAATTGATTAATGGATGTAAAGCTCATTGTCCATCAGCCTGCAAAGCCAGTATACTAGGCGTCATCCGTCTAGTCACCTCGGCGCGATGTGTATTATTGCACACAATTTTGAAATTCCGGATGGGCTGGGCTCCTGCCGTGCCGTACTTGCACCAAGTGCGCATATGGCTAAAATTTGACGCCAAACTGCCCGATTTTCTTATTTTGATCTTCTTTTGCTTTGAGCAGCACGCACGGTCTACTTTTTAATGATTTGTTACCTTTATACTCGTGCATTACCTTTTTAGGTTAGATATCTCAAAAATTACTACTTCTGCTTTCAGGTAAAGGTGGAGATAAGCAGTCTTACAAGATGAAGTAAGTCTGCTATCTTCACTGCTGCCGCATGTAGAAAGAGTAGAATATCTCTTAGGCAGTACGAGTTTTTGCTTAAAGCAATCCCACTAGAGACTTAGAAGAAGCTTTCCAAGAGGAACTCGGCACAAAACGATTTCAGTGAGAAGGAAGTTGAAAGTCGTTTCGTCTAAAAGATACTCTATTCTTTTTACACACGACAATCCCGAAAAAAACACTTACTTTACAAGCCTGTAAGATTGCCCATGTTCCCTTACCTGGAAGCAGAATGATAAATTCTAACATATCCGATCTGAAACATCGATGCACGAGTATAAAGGTAACACATCATTGAGAATTAAACCATGCGTGCAGAAAAAGTGCTTAAAACGAAAAAAAAACATTAAAATAAGAAAATCGGGCAGTTTGGCGTCGTTTTAGCCGTATGCGCAGTTGGTGCAAGTACGCCAAAGCGGGAGCCCAGCAATTCATCCGGAATTTCAAAATTGTGTGCAGTAACACACATCGCACCGAGGTGACTAGACGGATGGCGTCTACTATAGTTAAATTTGTTCAATCTCTTCTTTAACTCTTCGTAACGAGCTGTTTTATATATTCTATGTACCGTTACCTAAACAATTGCCAATATTTCCTAACGTTCACAAAGGGTCATTTTTGGACATGTTCAGCTTGGTTTCAATTGTGAATGAAGTCAGCCTCTTCATCCTCATGTAAAGTAATATTCCTTGTTAGTCTAAGCCAGAAATAGGTTTTGCATGAGTTTAGTAGGTAACTTTGAGAGTGCCTCCAGAATTTCAACTGCAGCGTTTTTCACCCTGAGTGCTTTGACTCCACTGATTACCACAAAGCCAAAAAAAGTCGAAGTGAGTGGAAGGCACAATGTATTAGGTTGGAAACTAATTTTTGCTACTGGTCTCATAACTTCCCTCTCACTCAACATGGCGCACTCAAATTTTGCCACTGCGTCGGCTATTACGTAAGCTACAAGAGCAGCTACTGTCCTACTAAAATCTGACGTCGCAATGAGGGTTACGGTAGGTGCATAGTATGAAGGGGATAAATTCAAAGTTTGACGGATTTGGCTGAAACTTGGCATAGAGGTGTTATCCGACATGCTGATCACGAAAATGATAGTGAAATTGCGTGATAAGGGCTTTTTGTAGGATTACTGTAAATGTACGATATGAGGTCTCACCTTAAACAAGGAAAAAGGCGTTGATTCAACAAATAAATGTGATATTCGCGTCTGGCAGGTCAAATAACCTTACTATGTAAAGTCTCGGCAGAATTTGAGCTTTTGACTCTTCAGTCATTGAAGGTCGTTCCCAGAAGCTCTTGCGTACATCGACTCGTTCGAATTTATGAGCCAAAACTAGGCATGCCCCTAAATTCTGTTTCTTTCTCAATAGGCCAAAAGAGTCAACCTCCAGCAGTAATCTGTAGACGAATCCGGATTACTGTGCATGGTCTAGGCTGCCAAAGGCTTCGTTTTAGCTTGAAACACCGAAAATTCTCAATCTTTAGTTTTCGAAAAACGCCTGGAAATTTTCTATTTCGTGTTCAAAGTTTAGACAATTTATGCTTTTTTGTAGCTCACATTGCCTTCTACATAATGCCAAAGTTTGAGTGCGCCATATTCAAAGAGAGTGAAGTTATGAAACTAGTTACAAAACTTAGTTTCCAGCCTAATACAATCTATAAAGGTTGTGCTAGCATGACATAAAACATGTTCAAAGAAGCTTTTGCGGAATCAAAGGTGATGGGACAGGCACAACTCTTTGAAAGGTCAAGCTGGCTGATCTTTTGTGAACCTGTGACTGACCTAGTTAACTTGTCTCCAGGATTCAAAATACGTCCCATCTTTGTATGAGTATTGATTCGTAACCATTTCTTGCAACACAAATTTGGAGTTAGATCCCTACCTCTTTGGAAATTATCGCTTGCAAAATAGGCCCTCCCACACCTGGGATTGACCGTCGTTTTGCGCGCCGGTGAGCACGTGCAATCGCAGGAAATTGGGTTTGCCGTCTCCGGGAACATTGAAAGATTCTTTTTGACACAAGCTGATCTTCTCCAAAGTGTCAAACTGCGAGATTGTGGATGTAAAGAAGAGGAACAAGGAACCTTTTCGGCGGGTTTTTAGGGGGGGGTTCAAAGAAGTTATGTCTGGCCTCGTACTCGACCCTGTTACGTTGCAAATAACTCAAATTTTGCATTTGAAGGTATCAGAGTTTACGAAAGACAAAATTTACAGTCGCCACCATCGAAATAATGATGAGCTCAGAGCTGGCTTATGTGAAGAACAAGACAAGGGAGCTAAAGTAAACACTTATGGTAAGCTTCAAGTGATCACTTTTCTCACTGATGTTTAATTGATTTATTACTGCTGTGGCAGCATATAAAGGTGACGCAAGCAAAAGGCTTCAGGATATACCGCACGGAAATGCGGCGTAGCTTCCATAAGGCCTAAGGCATACCTCACGCAATTCGGCCGAATCGCCACTTTCACGCGACTTGGCACTTTACCACATTTCTACAAATTTATCGTGCGCGCTTCTCGGATGCATATTTGGGCAGCTCGTGTACGCTGTTGCAAATGGAGCGAGTTCTGACCAAAAACAGCGCCTTAACGACGAATTACGAAGAGTCGGTGTTGTGCAAGGTCGCGCAGCGACCGGAATCGCGCGAATTATGCCTTAGGCCTAACGCGTGCCCCTGTTAAGAAACATGTCCCGTTAGGTAAAGGGCGCCAGCTAGCGGCGCAGTTAGCTCCAGGTCTCACATCGTCTTTAGGGCTTATTATATTGTCATGCCAGTTTTCTGATCTTAAGTCATTCATTACAACTCATTCAATTTTTTTATTGATCACAATCATTGCAAAGCGAGGTATGTATTAAAAGTTGCCGGCTCCTCAAGAACACCTGCCTGCTTCTTTTCAAACGTATTTTTATCAAATTTTGGAGTTACTTCTAACCAGAAAAAAATTTGCCATTGAAAACAACAAGCAAGTTCAAAGAAAATTTTTAAATGAGGGTATTGAATTGTAGTCTTTTGCGGCAACTTAACCGTACATTGGAGTCCTCACTAACATGGTTTTGCTTAGCGTTTGATATGATTGTGATTACAACTGAGCAAACTTCAGTTGAGACACAGGCGATCCGCCTTTGAGTCTTTGTGACCTCACAGACAAGTCCGCTTTTTTGACAGGAAATCGATGAAAATGCACCCTCGCGCCGTCAGGAATTTCGCAGATAAGTCCTCCCATCAGATAAGCCCGCCTTCGGGTAAGTCCGCTTTTTTCATTAGAAGAATCGAGAAAAGGATGCGGACCTACAGATAAGTCCGCTTGTTTTGAGCATAAGTAAGCGCGCGACCTAGGCGTACATCAGGTGTACATCAAAGACGCGTGCGCAACCGCCCGAGTTGCTGGACGGTGTAGATTCAATTGAGGCCGTGACATAGTCTGAAAGAGGCCGCCTGAGGAGTACAAGTGGTGCAGATTGCCGAAAACACCGTTTAGGATCTATAAAGCATACGCTGGATATGTGAGTTCTTTTCTTAGATAGGTCTGCTTGTCTAAATGACTCTGATGGCACAAGTAAAGGCCAGGCTTCCGCCCCATTCCAGCGAATACTGGCTCAGGAAAGATTTTTGATGTGAGATAACTCTAAAACGTGACACGCTTACATGTTCTGGACAGGGCTCAGCACAGCTGGCACCGGGTCAAGCTGGATATTGTTTTTAGCGCGGAAAGCAAAGGGGATATCGTTTTTACAGGGGCCGAGGCGGAGAACTGCCGCAAAAATGCCGCCGGCATGCCACCGGCATGACACGGCATTTTTGCGGCAGTGCTGAATCCGAAAACGGCGGAAAAAATCCATGCTGAATCCGAAAATCCTCACCGGAAAGCGCGAAAACGGCGGAAAAAAGCCCCAACGCTGGACGGAAATCAGCAAGTGGGCGGGGTCTCCCCCCAATGTGGATTCATGCTCCAAGCTTCCGGAGCGATCTTCTCGATTCCAATTT